GGTTTCATTTCAGAGGCAACCTTCGTTGATAGGTATTCACCAATTTCTCTATAATTGTCACTGAATTCATTGAAAAATAAATTATTATAAAGTAGCATACTTATGGACCCGATCATTCTGCAACCTACAAAAACCAAGGTCAGTCTATCTTTAGGTATGTGATTTTGTTTTTTCTGAATGACGTCAATGCAAAGTACTTGAATATCCAAGTAGATACACCAATGTTGTACCAACTACCAATGGGACTAATTTTGCAAATATGCGTGAGTATTCTATTCGTAAAAAGTTTATTTGGACGTTAGTAGGTATGATCTAATTCATGCTAAGCTAAGAGGAACTTACCTAGTGACTATGTGCACATGAATAATATGAATAAAATCATACAGAAAAAAGTATGAAACACGGAAATTCTATGCACATAAGTAGTTTCTTCTGCTTAATTCATGTGTATATAGTTGCATTTGGACTGCGTTTAGCAGAAAGGAACCAAGCCACTTCAGCTATTGTGAATAATATTACGTTTGTGCGGATTCTTTTGAAAAATTTTTAGGCATTCGTATCGTGCCTTGCAAAAAATTCACAGAAATTTGCACAAAAATCCGCACAAACGTTTCCATGTAAAATTTTAAACTGCCCAATTACTTGGCTGTACCTGATGTGGCTCGGTCCCTTTCTGCCTATCATTTAATATAATTACGTTCATATGAGAGATTGATCTATCTATCGTATTATTAAGTTCGTCCAATACCTTCCTAGGTACTCGGTTTTAATCGCACTGAAAGAAAAGTTTGAACGACTCGCCTTGGTAACACTTACCCCGCCAGTCATTATTGGCCAATAGGGGAGCTGGCTGAGAAGAAGAGGGCTCCGATTGGTCGGGATCGTTCTCTTATCAATCGCTGCGTCTGCTTAATTGGTTGTGTGAGCTGCGCACATAAAAAAGGAATAGGGAATGGCGGTCAATTGCGACTCAGCGTATCATGCGATGACGTCGTTGGGTACAGAGTGATTGTTGTAACAATTTTAAGGATAATTTAAAGCCGTGCAGTTGTCCAACGAATAAATTTAAGGAGTTTTAAATGAAAAAAATGACATATGGGTAACTATTTCCATGATAGTTCTCTCCGTAATTAGGTTTTGTTCACTTACATGTTTGACGTCAGTTGTTACAAATCTCCTAGTAGACCTGCTTGGGTTTCTTCTCTTGGAGAAACGCATGCGTGACGTCATCAAAACATTGCACAGCTGAGTGACAACTGAAGCTGAAGCCCTGTGTGATCAGCGATCGTTTCTGCTGTGAGAATTTGTGAATTTCTTTGGATAAGGTCGGAGAACTGGACGAAATTTCATCACGGCGACGCGCTAGCAAGCCTGGCCTCGAGCGGGGAGTCCGACGACGGTGGGCTAGCTCCGCCACCGCGTAAAAAATCTCGCCCTTCCACTGGAGCTACGATGCAGCAAGCTGCAAATGGCTGTTGTGAACACAATGGGGCAGCCGAGGAAGATCTCCAAGAAAGCACCTCCGCCTTCCAGCAAAACGGCATGGATGCCCAGCCGGACAGCAACGGCATTAACGGGGACGTCTCCACCAAAGTCATCGGCAAAACGGACCAGGAAATCGTCAGACTCATCGGCCAGCACCTCAGGACCATTGGACTCAAGTATGTACTTCCTTTCCAATTTTCCCCAGTTATCAGTTTTCTCCTTTTTTAGGAAGGTCAGATCCTTATCAGAACATGCTCTTCCATCCAGCCCTTACTCTCTCACTTTTTCAAACAGCGTAGCATCTTGCGGCAACATTGATTGCCGTCCAACCGTTACAAATTATTCAGGGCACTACAAATCTTCCCTGAAATGTCCTGGTCGTTAAGGTCCAAATATTTTCAGGAACATGCTCCTGCACTTTTGTTACTGTGAAATAGGCAGAAATTTTTTGGAGTTTTTTTATGCAGTTATTGTCTACTCTCCTAGAATTAACTGAGAAATTTCCCTTTTCTTCAGATATTGCTTAAGTATCCTTTGTTCTCCACCTCAGAATCATTCAAAACTTGAAATTCCTTAAATGGAAATGGTCAATTATTTTTCCTGTACATTTTGCTAATGTGATGGCTTTTCATTGACTTTTCAAACTCCACCTGTCAAAATCCAAAAATTTTATCAATTTTAAATTATTAATTCTAAAAAAAAGGACATCTTGCCTTTTGATAAGGACTTAGGGTTTGTTTACCTATTGATAAAGCATCGTTCCTTTTGTTTCCAAATAAGAAATTGGGGCTCTTTAGGGTCAAAATAAAGTAGGCAAAAATCTGAGGAACAGTTTTCCATGTGTACTTCATTCCTACTACCTTCCTCTTTTCTTAGAACGATCAACCACGAAAAATATTCCACTAAATTGAATAATCAATTTCCTCAAAAAAAACAAAAAAAAATCCGGCATCCTATCCAAGCTTCTACTTTTTCTGGGCAAGTTTTTACTAATTTTAAGCCTTTTCTCGGGTAACGAGAGTTGACCTTTCCTCCCGCAATCAAAATTCAAATGAATGTTAATGTAGGACGCTGAAGTGTGAACAGTAAGTTTTTGAACTTCACAGTCAGAATCTACATACCTCACCTCACAATCTACAAAAAGGTACACTTATCTCTAATTTCTGTATATTCTCCTTCCATTGCTTGTTCTCATCAATTTTTTGTGTTTTTTATACAGCCGCACAGCTGATCTGCTGATGCAAGAGTCGGGATGCCGACTTGACCACCCTGCTGCTGCCAAATTCAAACAGCACGTAATGGATGGTGACTGGAGTAAGGTACTGCCAATGTATTTCCTATACTGGTTTCTCTCTATTTATCGGAGAGGATTAAAAAATGTCATCTATATTTTCTACAAATGCACAGTTTGAGTAGAGAAAAGATTGTAGCTAAGCTATCGACTAAAAGGTGTGAAGTAATCTGCTCTCTGTCCTGGACGTCTAGTACTGTTAACCTATACAGCAAAACAGGCAAAGTTTCAACTTTTGGATGGTCTTACCTTTGGCAAATGTTACTTTGCTCTCTCATCAATTTGCAATGACTAGTTTGGCCCAGTTTAAAGTTTCAAAACACCAAGCCAGGTAATACATAGCTGGATTTCAGCAGTGCTCGCAATGGATATTCTTACATGGAAGAGTGTCAGCAAGATCACTGTCTGCCATGGAAATGAGTTCAATTTTCGAATGGTATTCTATCGTCATAGTGTTGCTTTTATGGGCTCATTTATGTCGGAGTCTTATCAGTTCGTTGCATTTTTATCTCAAAGTGCCGTAATCCAATCTGAAGCTTATTATTAGTTGAATTCAAAAAAACATGCATCTCAAAAATTTCTCCCCTGTAACATTTTGTTTAAGTACCAAGCAAACTATCTCCATGAATTGAAGTCATCACAGGACACTTTTTTCTTCCAAGGAAAAAATGGATCGCGTCAAACAGAAAGGAACCAAGCCACATCAGCTATTGCCAAATTTAATCGGGCAATTTAATTTTTTACCCAAGAATGATTTTGCGGATTTTTCTGCAAATTTCAGTCAATTTCCTGTGTAGTACGAAGCAAATTCCTCAAAAATGTCAAAGGAATCCGCCAAAACATTCTCTTGTAAAAAATTAAATTGCTCTATTAAATTTGGCAATAGCTGATGTGGCTTGGTTCCTTTATGCTTAACGCAGTCCAAATTGTTCTAGTTTTTGAAGGAAAGTTAATGACTACATAGTTCAGTGGTGCATAAACTTCTCCACCCCTCAACTAGACACTGCAATCAGTTGAATACTCTAATCAGAAGGCCCCGAAAAGCAGATTTAAGAAATTGAGAGACAGGAGATATTGCACTTTTTTGTAATACTACCATATTGTAATATACAAGTTCAAAGCAACCAAATAGTCACCTTTCTGAAATTTTTGAGGAAAAAGAGGTTTTTAAAATGGGAAGGTCATCGACTTTCCGAATATCCGACTTAAAAATATAATAGTACGTACAATAGGGGAATTGAAAAATCGAAAATTGAGGTGAATTTTTCCAGACTTCAGACATCATTTTCTTTCTGAATTAAATATAGCCAATATATGCTTCTCATTGTTTTTGTATAGGCTGATCTCGACTTGAATGAACTTGAAGCGCTACTTGACAATTCAAAATATAGTCTGGCGGAAATGAAATTTTTGATCTTAGAGCAAAAGTATCTGGAGTATCTTGAGGACGGAAAAGTTTTAGATGCACTTCATGTCCTTAGAAATGAGCTAACACCTCTACAGCATAACACAGAAAAAGTTCACGAGTTGAGCAGGTAACTATTTTGTTCATAGATTTATCAGTACATTTGTGCAATTTGTAAGGTTTTTATTCTGGCCTTAAAAACCCAACTACTTCCTGTCTGGATACACATACATATATTTTTTCATGCTCTAGAACTCCAGTAGGAATAAAATCCCTCTTTTGATGGGTGTCCTCAAATAGTAGTTAACAGAATCATATAAAATAAATTGAAGGAGCATTAAAGCAGGGAGAGGTCTAGTAATTGGAAATTGTTTTTCTTAAATATCTAAGATATGCACTATGTTTAAGTTGGGTATCTGGTTGCATCATGTAAATTGGTGATAATTTTTTTTTTGATTAGGAACAATGATATGCTTTTAGATTTGCTTTGAACTTTTCGGGCTTTGAAAAATAAATACTACTTTCAGGAACATTTTTAACGGTAATCAAACTAGTCCAGAACAAGTATCCAATTTTTTCTTTAAATTTCAACAAACTCGATACTTCTCATTTAACCCCCTGACTCCTGAGTTAGATTTCCACCTTGTGCTCCCCTAGCTTAAGTAGGTTAGGAATGGCAAAACTGACTATTTTCAGTAAGTTATTTTTAGTTATTTTAGTTTTAGTTTTCTTACCTTATTCGCCCATTTCTCAACAAAGCAGCTTAAAATTTAATGTGCCTTATCCTTAAGTATATGCAAGTAAAGATCAGTCACCAATAGTTAATTAAGTACTAGCACCCAATTTTTTTCTAAAATAAGTAACACCAAAAATGAAGATTTTTGAGGTTCCAAGACAAAAGTTCTCGTCCATAGGGTCTCAGTGCGGTTATGCGAGGACGAGAATTCTGATCCGTAGGAGTCAAAGGGTTAATAAGGGTTTGTGTAAATTTTGTATTGTCCCTTTTAAAACTTCTTTTCAGCGTGTTGAAATGGAAAAAAATATTTTGACCTTTAGGTATTTGGAGCATTTTTGTTTTTTTGTGAGGATGCTGACTTGACATGACTTCTCCATGTTTTCATCAGTATGTGGAATAATCAGGCCTACTCTTTTCAGTGAATAAAAGAAAGCTCCAGACCAGTTACTATTTCCTTTACTTTTTCTTTCATTTTTGATGACAGATAAATTCTTCAAAAAATGCTTAGTGGAGTAGGTAATGTTAGTAATATGACCCAACTTTTGACATGTATCCAATTTGCTTAACATTCATTGCAAATTCAATTTCTGTTCTAGTTATATGATGTGTAGTGGAAGGGAAGAACTGATGGCCCGTGCAAGATGGGAAGGTAAAGGGTTGCAATCACGAACAACCTTGATGGATCGCCTACAAGAATTTTTACCGCCCACTGTAATGTTACCTCCTCGAAGGTGAGTATCAGTAAATATTTTTTGGGGCTTTTGAGTAGTGTTGAACTTTTTTGTATGATATGCTGAATATGGACTCCTCACCTGCTATATATAAGAATTAAATATAGTAGACCCTCACTAAGTCGAAATGCATCAGGACCAAGGATTCATTCCAACTTAGTGGGGTCGCCGAGTCAAGCGGACTTCATATTATCTCGTTCTACAATTTCGAATTTCACGGCAAAATAGTGCGGCCAAATTACTTTACGTCATAACAACACGTCAGGCGCTGGCGGCTGCTACCGGAACCATTGAATGAAAAGCTCTACGCGTTAAAAAAGGCAACTGAAGGTAGTATTTCAGTCATTCTTCTAACTGTAAGACCTCCTAAAACTGTAAGGAATAGGTTGAGGAAGACATGAGTTGGCACTTAGCTCAGTTGATCCTTGTCTTGCATGGAAGCTGACCGACAAACCGAGTGCGTGTAAAGCGAATGATTTATGACTTCTCTGGACAGAGGGTGCGCTGATGTCAAGGAGTGGAGGGGGAACGCCAGTGGCATTCGGTTCACTCAAGTTTGACTGCAGTCAAGGCAGCATTGTGCGGCGCTGTCATTTAGCGCGGCAAAAGAATTTGCATTTGCGGATGGGTATGGGAATAATGAAGATGAGAGACGGATGTTTTTATGGGATCTTTACAAGTTTTGGACATGAAAATTTCACTGCGTTAGAGGGTTTTCCGAGTTAGGCGGATATTTTAGCATTGCGTAAACAGGTGATAAAACGGGACTGAGCCATGATTAGCACATTAGCAAGGTTTCTGGCTAAAGCGGGTTTTGACTTAGCAAGGTTCTACTGTACATGTTCTGGTTTCCAAGGCAGAGGGGAAAAGAAAAGCATAGAAACAATTTTATGTACCCTCCTTCTGTCCTTTCTTATGAAATTAATTAAGGACCAAAGTTTGTTCCAAGAGATTTTTTTGCATCAATTCTATATCAGAAGATTGGAGGATAAGAAAAATGAAAATTTTTAAATTATTTCTTGAAGAATACTCCCTTTATCAGTCAGCTCTAAAAAACTCTTTGGATAATAGGGGTGTGAATAGATCCTAATCCTTTGGTAAAAATCTATGATCTACTTGAAGTAAGTATTCAGATAAGAGAGAGAGAGAGAGAGAGAGAGAGAGAGAGAAAATAAAATCAATTTTAATAATTGCCTCTCAACTCAAGATCTTTGTCGCGTCTGCCAGAATCTTGATTCTAGGATTGCTATATTGAGCATTTCTGCACCCCTGTAGATTGATACAAGCAATTTTACAACAATTCAAATTTTTAAAGAATTCAGTAGCTTTCAGAAAATGGGGGAAAAGAGCAGAACAAAATTGTATGTGATGAGTAGGATGAAAGTAGATATCAACATTTCAAGAAGTGAAGAAAGATAAAGTGAAGTTAAAAAGTATGACCTCAGACCGCTTGGTTTATTTACTATTGAACTTGCAAGGAAATTAAAAAAAAACTGAAATTCATCTGCTATAATTAGAATTTCCTTCTATTGGAGTTCGTTTAAAGCGGGCTAAATTGTATAAAGTTTTCAACAAGGGATGCAACAAAAAATTTGACAAAGAATCACCCTTAGAAGGAAACATTTTCTGTTTATAGCCGTTTCAATAAGATTCTGTGTTTGTTAGTCTATCATAATTATTATTATTTCAGGCTTCACACTCTTCTGTCGCAAGCTGTGGAGCTACAGAAACAGAGGTGTCCCTATCATAACACAGAAAGCCAAGAAACAATGGATAATATTTCTCTACTTGTAGATCATTTGTGTTCAAGGTAATTAAACTTTAAAATCTCAGCTAGCTCTGGTCCACATGATATTAATGACATCTTTTAAATTTCTGTAGTTTTACCTCGATTATCCGTTCATCGCTTATTCGGCGAGACTTTTTTTGAAGTTTTCCCTGTTTTTTCCATGCATATATCGTGTGGTTTTATGAGTTTTTGTACATTTTCGATTATACTGCGTTCCCTGTATTGGGTCTGAGCTTCCGCCAAAATATTCAGATAATCTGGGTATTACTGTGTCATCCAAATGTTTTTGAATTTCAGGCATCGAGAAAATAGTGAAGAAACTAAAGCTTGAACTGAATGAACCAATATTCCATTCTTATGTTCTTAGAAGTATAAAATAGAAGTAAATGAAATCCAGAGGAGGAAAAATTTGATGCCAATAGAATTAATTTAACAGTACGTAACAGTTCTGTCTGTTTGCTCTTCAAAATTTCAAGTATGTAGGTATGATGGAATCCATTAAATCTTTCCACATTGAATTCGTAAGCAAGAATATAAAGGTTCCCCTCCATATTAATTCACAATTCCTGCTCACTTATAAACCAGAGTCTACTCAAGTCAAATTGAGCCCTAAACTTAAATTGATATACGAGGTCTGTTAGATTAGAAACCGGATTTTGGTCATAACTAGCCCACAATGCGTCCGAATTAGGTTTTCTTGAGCTTTCCTGATAGCTGGAAATATACATAAGAACGCTACGTTCACAGATTTTGTTTATTTTGATCAGTGTTTATTCTGTGTCATCTTGAATACGAGTAAGTCAGGTGCGTTTTGCGATTTTCAGCATGCGAACACTGATAGAGCAAAGACTCAACACTTAATTTTGTTTTAAACTCGGTATACCTTGTACCGAAACTTTTGGTATGCTAAGTGAAGTTTACCAAGATCATTGTATGAGATGTTCCCACTGTTTTGAGTGGGTTAGACGATTCAAAACTGGTCAGGAGTTCGTCGAAGATGAGGAGTATGGGAATCGACCCTCAACGGCAACTGACATTTGTCACGTGGAAGAAGTGCGGGCAAAAGTGCTCGAAAATGGTCGTTTTGAGCTTGTTGAACATAGTAGTATTTCTGAAGGCTCTGAACATACAATTTTGATAGAATATGTAGACACGCATCGAGTTTCAGGTACACTTGCCCCTTGATTGTTGTCCGTTGAACGAAAATCCAACCAAACGTTAATTTCCCTTTAGCTGCTTGAACGTTCTAACAATGATCCTACATTTTTGGTAGGATAATTTTCGGTGACAATACTTTATTGTACGGCTACGATATGAAGACGAAACTCCAATCGTCCTTGTGGGTTGAAAAATGTAGTGCAAGACCGAAAAAAGAGAGACAAGTTTGGTCAAACATAAAAATCGCAAAACACCCTTGAGGTTGCCTTTCTTCAAGCCACATACCAACAAAGTAATTATGATTTTTCAAATTTGTGAACGTGGCGTTCTTAAATATATTTTCAGCTATCAGAAAAGCTCAAGAAAACGTAATTTGGACGCATTGTGGGCTAGTTATGACCAAAATCCGGTTTCTAATCTAACAGACCTCGTATTGTATTTTACCCTGGAGGAATTTTCTTGTTTACTAACTTTTTTTTTTTTGTCAAAATAAACGGGACCCTGTATCAGAAGAGGAAGGAAATGTTGGTGAAATTGAGACCAAGTCATTTGCCTAACGTATAGGTTGATTCCAATCCCTAATTTGGTCTATAATCATTATGGTTCTTTCATGAGCGGAAAGTTTGAATTTACTGTTTAAAATGTAAACTACAAATGTTTATTTTCACTTATGCGTTAATTTTTGAAGATTTTGTTGTGTTTAAGGTGTTTTGCATTAAATTTTGATGAGGGAACAAGTTATGCTGTGCTCCATTTCTTACTCTGTGTTGTGATCCATTGTTTGAATTCTTTATACGCTCATATCATATTAGCCTTCTTTACTTCCTGATTGAAATCAGGATAGTTTGACGTTAAGATGTGCAATGTTAGTTTAAAGGTTCTCTTAGTTAGTTAGTGTGTGAGCTTGAAAGACAGAATACCTCCTTTTAAATGTTTACTTTTGCTCCTTACTTTAACCTTCTCTTTTCCAGTAATGCTCCAATTATTAATTTATTGTTTACAGAAATCAATTCCCTTGTAAATCAATTCAAGTCCTCACTGATCACTGTGATGAAGTTTGGTTCTGCCGATTTTCGCCTGATGGTCTGAAACTAGCAACTGGTTCAAAAGATACAACAGTTATAATTTGGGATGTTGATCCTGTAAGTCATATTAAATTCCCCTTCGTACTTCAACAATTGTTTTTTGGATTCTTAAAATTTTCTATTTCGAGAAGATCTAGCATGTTGTGACTGATGGATGGAGGGGGGGGGAGGAGGAGGAGGAGAGAAGGAAGGGAGTTCGTGTCTTAGTTTTTTCGAATGTTTTTGAGGAGAGGTGGTCTGGCCATGCCCTTTCTCACTTCACAAAGTTCATCTAGAAAGAGGGGGATAAGAAGAGCATTTAGCATTTCGTTTGAAAGCAGAAAATTTGCTTTACGCAGCCTCGAATATCCAGGTTGCTTTCTTTTACATGGCTAGAAGCTACACTTTAAATTAAAGTTGAAGTAAAAGTTCAGCTTATAAAAAAAATTTCTTATCTTCATCTTGTACTTTTAATTATATATATTATATGTTATACTTTTAATTAATATCTTGTGAATATTCGCAATTCCTACTATTCGCGCCGCGAATATTCGCTTCTTCTGCCTCGCGCAATATTCGCACATTGCGAATAATCGCGCCGTCATGAATAGTGAATTTTTGAACTGACATTTCTAAATATTCGCGCCGTCATGAAGAACGAATTTTCAAATATTCGCGCCATCAAAAATAACGAATTTCCGAGTGGCAATTGTGAAACGTCGCGAGGATCTGCTCAAGGCTTCTGCTTCGACCCGAGACATCGCGAAAGGCGGATCTCCTTTGATCTTTACCGACTTTGCCGAGTTTACGAACAGCGAGTGCGATTGCGATTGGGGGAATAAGCAAAGAGCCCAAATTAAGGATTGAAAGACACAGAAATGTCTGAAATAGAAAAAAAAAGTTCATAAACACATTTCCATTTATACCGAAAAAATAAAATACTATGATGTGTCTTTTGATTGACTGTTTGTTGACTTGACAGTTAACTTCAAATCCTGGAAATGCATATGTAACTGCAGGGACAGTCAAGCCAGCATCCAGGGATCTTCAAACACATTCTTAACAGCCTAGGCTACTATTATAGCATTTCATTGTTTTCTGTGCAGGTGAATGAGCAAATGGAAAATTCTTAAAAAAATTAATCACATTTTTTTGGTCGACTTTTGTAATATTCGCAAATTTTCACACTTAAAAAGTCATTTCAAATTATTCGTTTTACTATTCGTAGCTGTGAATAATTGACTTAAATTATTCGCTATTCGCTTCGTTCGGAAAATTCACTATTTGCACAGCCCTATTATAGAAATAAGTAATTATCCAGTTGTTACTTTTATATACCCTTATGTACATACATTAAGATAATTGTATATATTTCCTCCTAGGAAGGTTACAATAAATAAACCCTTAAAAAAAAATCTTCATCTGGAAAATATGTTTTTATGAAGTGTAAAGTTATGCATTGTTTATTTCAGGACACGTTAACCTGCTCACATCGTACAACACTAGAGGGACACTCTTATGGTGTAGCTTATCTAGGATGGTCACCAGACAGCACTCATCTGATAGTGTGTGGACCGGAGGATTGTCCTGAATTGTGGATATGGAACGTAGAAACAGAGGAGTTGCGGAAAAAAGTCACTCACTCTCCCGAAGACTCCCTTACCTCTTGCTCATGGCATCGTGATGGCAAGAAGTTTGTCACAGGGGGAATTCGAGGCCAATTTTATCAGTGTGTAAGTTCATCACATACTGAGTCATTTTTTAAACTTGATGAATTTTTTTTGGTGAAAATCATGAAAAATTAGTATATTCAACGTCTTTTTTGTCATACCTATCATGTAGGAAGTTGTTGCCGAGTGGGTTTTCCTTTTGATTGTTTGCCATCTGTGCAGAGACAAGAGACCCTCCACTGGCCTCTTTGCGACAGGTAGGAGCTTTTACTTTGGAGGATTCATCACTTCCTTATGGACAATTATAAGGGAGCAACAGTCATCACTCTTTTTTCGGCTGTTGACCTACCTACATGGTGGATGATGAGCTTCGGATAACGTCATGAGCCAAAGAAGTTTCCCAAACTTCTGCTTGTTTTGGCTTGTTTGCAAAACGAAACTGCCAACACGTTGTAAAATATCAACCATGTAGGTAAGTCAACAGTTTAATGTTGATGTCCCGAAAGTAAAAGCTTCCACAATAGCCGAGATACGAGTGGAGGGTCTCTTGTCTCTGTATCTGTACAAGCCCAGAATTAACACTGTACAATATCGTCAGCTCATATTTTGTTTCTTTGGGTGGTGTTCAGCGAAAGAGAACCAGCCTCTTCAGAAGTGGAGAGGTCGTCCCCCCATAAGTGGTCGGCAGAATTCCTTTCTTATTCTCATAAAGAATACTTCTAAAGTCAAACTTTAAATATAAATAATTTTCAGGGTTTTCTTCTCTCGTATTTGATAGCAAGGAAATTAAATTAGGCTCAAAAATACTTATTTGTTTTGCATTTTGTTAGTTGGCCCCTTTTTATTAATTGTAAAGGACATTATTTCCATGAATTGGAATATAAGCTAAATGAAACCACAGAAAGGAACCAAAGCAATCATTTGGTTCCTTTGTGATCCTTTATGAGGGATTCATGAAAAGTAATCAGTTGAATTTTTGTTTACATGGTTTCCCTTGAAGGGTTCTCCCAAGCAACTGTGAAGCAGATGCTTTGTTTTTCAAAACAATTGGTTCTCTTTTGCTGAATGCCTCCTATGTACCATCTGACAAGAGGAGAATTTTAGCATTATAATACATGTTTTCTCATCATAATTTCACATAGAATTTGATCTGTGCTACAAAAATTATTGAAAATAACCTTTAACTAAGACATCAATGTCTTCGAATGCATAAATTCAAACTTCCCATTCAAAAAGAAACCATAATCTACTTGAGACAAATTTCACACTAAACGTCATCGTAACAATGTCTGCATTATAAAAATAAGGCAACCACAATCTGTGCATTTCGGCTCAACTGCTGCACATTGTTAACACTTTGAACAACACAGAGCGGAGAAGGGACTCAGCTCTGTCAAGAGACCTGCCAAAACTGTTGTAGAGCGAGGTTTGACTAACGTACACTCCAGTTTGTCTCGTTAGCGGGCAATTCAAGGTTTTCTTAACCAGCGTTAAATAGAAACATTAGTAGCTTGGTTAGGAGTTTTTTGCAGTAATGTTCATTGGATGAATGGTGTTTCTTGTGACACTTTGAAGAGGAAACACATATTTCACACAGATTTCTTAAATTTGCATCCTGTCTAATGGTACAATAATATCTGTCAAAATCAGGAAAATATCGAAATCTACCACTTACAGACGATTTTGAGTTACCCAAAAAACAAATTTTCATGACCATAAAAAGCTATTGTCTACAATATTACCTATTGAGTCAACCACATTGCTCTTATGAATGTTAATAAACGTAGATATCTTTCTGGGTACTGAAAAAATACCTAAACACAGTGTCAAGCCCCAGTAGAAATCAGGGTCGACTTTCAATTATAACCTTGCGTAGCAACAGGGCTAAATAAGTCAGTCGTTATGAACCTGCAAGAGTTCAAAATGGAAGATAACACTTGGATGGTGATCAAGAATCTCTCAAGCTTATGCTTTGTAAGCCTACTGTTGAGATTTACTTTGAGGAGAATTTGGTAAATATGTCATTAATTTCACTAATTTTCATGTGCCCCAGGATTTAGAAGGAACTGTCTTGGATGCATGGGAAGGAGTTCGGGTGAATTGCGTATGGTGTAGATCTGACGGTAAGACAGTTCTAGCTGCAGATACGCATCATAGAGTTCGATCATACGTTTTTGATGAACTCACTGAAACAAACATGTAAGTATTCAGTCTCCCTCTAATCTTTTCTGTTTTGTTTTTGCTAATATTCATTATGATAAAAAAAGCAAAATTCCCTCGTAAAATTTGTGGTTATTCAAAGAAAAATTGAGTTAAATTGTATAGATGTGTAAAACAAATGGTTTTTCTGCATTGAAATAAAACGAATAGGAGTGCAGGGTGGGGGGGGGAGGCACAAGCCTATTTAGATAAATTTATCACATTATCGTAACTTTTTCTAATAACTCTAAAATTTTCAGATTACAAGAAGATCATCCTGTGATGGCATTCACTGTGAATCAAGCCGACCGCCTTGCGCTTCTCAATGTTGCTACACAGGGCGTTCACCTGTGGGATCTGCAAGACAAGTGCCTCGTTCGAAAATTCCAAGGAGTTACTCAGGGTCATTTCACAATTCACAGTTGTTTCGGTGGAGTCAATCAAGATTTTGTCGCCAGCGGTAGTGAAGGTAATCTTTAATAATTCTCATCCTATGCTATAAATGCTGCTCTTGCTATTGTGCAGACTTTTTACAGTCCTCACTTGAATCGCTCAATCTCCAATAGACTTCAGCCCCAGAAATGAAAATGCAAGAAACTTAGTAAAAACTATTAATCAACACGTTTTAAACCTTAGATCTTTATGTGACTAACCAATAAAATGCTTTAATATGTTGGAGATATGAGATTTGAAACATGTTTTAAACATTTCTTCGTTTGCTTTTCTTGTATTTTAGTTTTGGCGCTTGCGTCTTTTTGAGAATGACTGATTTAGTTCCTCACAAGGCCAGTGTAGGCTATAAAAATGAGTGTAGTCTTGAAAAGTGCAAGATTGGTGAATCTCATTTGTAGCCTTCAATATATTGTCAATTTTTTTAATTTTTCGTTGAATGGACCCCGAACACCTCTTATGGGAAGCTGCACCATGACGGATTGCCTTCTGACTTATGTCATTCGATTCTCCTCAAGATGCTGATCAAAAGTTGTATGTGCGCCAACTTTCTATGATGCACCATTTTCGCAAAAACCTAAGAGAAGATTCAATTATTCGGCAATAAAAAGTCAGAAAGATTCCTCATTTCAGTACTCGAGTGAACAAATCAGGGGAACTCCCGCACTGAGCGGCGGTCTTATCTCGGATTTCGCTCGCCGTTTTGCTCCACCATCCAAATCAGATTCTTGAAGAGCATAAGAACAGGAAAGTCTGAACGTCTACCGGGCGAGTGCGGGAGAGAGATAGCCCCTGAGTCAGCAGGTACCGATAAGAAGACGGACACGCGCTATGCTTTTTCCTTATTTACATAGGGGCTGTCCTCAAATGCTTTGTTCTTTTTTTATTCATAGTCGCCGAATAATTGAATCTTCTCCTAGGTTTTTTGCGAAAACGGTGCATCGTAGAAAGTTGGCGCACATATAACTTTTGATCAGCATCTTGAGGAGAATCGAATGACATAAGTCAGTAGGCAATCCGTCATGGTGCAGCTTCCCATAAGAGGTGTGCAGGGTCCTTTAATTCTCATTCCAACATTTAGTCGACTAAGTTTACAGATTTATTTAGTTTTAACCATGGTGTCTAGTTTTTTAAAAACGGGGAAAAACTGGGATTCATCAGGGAATGAAAATTTACCAGGGAAATCAGGGAGTCTGTTCTAGAAACGGGGAATCTCATCTCCAACCACACGGGGATCACTTCGTTTTCAAATTTGGCGGTCTAATCTGACCGAGCGCTATTCAGCTATGTCCATCAGCCTTCGGCAGTTATCGTGCATGCGCAGTTGGAAACGTGCATCAAGCGTCAAAATAATGTTGAAGCTTTCATTGACCAGATAATAGCAACATCAGGAACATTTTTTGAATTAAAATTTTGAATGTGCGCTGAAGAAATGGCTGTAAGATTAATTAAAATCGAAACTCATATCTGAAACTCTGGAAAATGATATCGTTTTCCCAAGAAAATCCCGGGAAAGTGGGAGAAAACTTCATCTCATCAGGGAATGAGCTCCTGAAAATCAGGGAGAATCAGGGAATGAGCTTTGCCAAGAAAACTAGACACCATGGTTTTGACGGAAAATATTTATTTTAAGGTTCACAAGTGCAAAGTTATGCAAGTGCGCTGTTTTGAGTCATGTATTCTGCAAGTCCACTGATTTTTTAAACGAGATTTTTCACAAGCATGTTGTTTTCTTGGTCCAATTTTTTGCATAAGCACTCAGTTAGTAGAGAAGCATTTTTTTGTAAGTGTGTCGTGAAAATCGTTGTTTGCTCTTCTGTATCCTGAACAGGTTGAAACACCAAATGATTAAATTTTTAGTGTCATTTGTAAGTTTTTTTGTTAAAGTAATTGCACAAGAAACATTTCTCATAGAAATCATCAATCGCATCGATATACTTTCCGCGTTTATAATACTGAGAACCTTACTGAGCCTTAAAAGGTCTGAAACTGCATGCGACTAGTAAAATTGAAACTTTGGGTGCCAGAAGGGTTCGGTCGCAGTATATTAAAAAATCTGCTAACAGTTCATTCATTGTTAGAGAAGAAAGTAAATGCATGCATATCATTGAAATTGCTAAATGTTCATGTCCTTACAATGTCCTAGAGAAAAAGTTCCAGAAAAATCATTCCCTAAATTCTTCTTTAAGATGTGAATTAGAGACAGACATTCTGAAATACTGCGATTTTGAATCTCCGCATCCGAGAAGTGTCCTTCTGGCACTCAGTGCCTCAATTGTTGAAATTGCATCAAGTAAGTGAACTCACAAAATATATGCTGATTTCAGATCACAAAGTGTACATATGGCACATCAAAAAAGAACTACCTATCGCAACGCTATCTGGGCACACGAGGATTGTCAACTGCGTTGCATGGAACCCTGTTTATCATCAGATGCTCGCGTCAGTTTCTGATGACTGTACAGTTCGGATCTGGGGACCGGATGACAAATATCGAACCAAAAAACAATCTGGTAAGTGGAAATCATTTATTTCTTATTCTCTGTTTCCACAAGCAGTGCAAGGTTTGCAAGCTTGTTAAATTCAGATAGGATCAGCACCTTATGAATCAAATTGTAGAAAGTAACAGCAGTTTTTTTTATCCTGATTCAATGAATAAGCAAAAGTAGCAGATTTTTTGTGCTCCAGTAGTATGCAAAGTCACGGTTGCCATAGTCAGGGAGTACTGGAAAAACCGGGAAGTGCTATGGAATTTTTAAAAGGTCAGGAAAAACCCGGAAACATCAGGGATGATTAAGGAAGTGTCAGGAAAAATTTTTAAATCAGCCTTATCTACTCAATAGAATGGGCTTGATGGTTCCCATAGGAAAACCTATTTGGTAATGTGCCCTAGCAGGAGTTTCTTGAAAACTTCTCCGAAGTAGAAGTCAATGGTAAAAAACTGGTGGTTAGGGCAAAAGGTCATGTCACTACTTCTGGGTCCCTCTCTTAATTCTATAACCTTTGATTTTCATACTCCTCTTAGTTAATAAAAGAAAAAAAAAGATTAAAAATAAGAAGAAAAAAACATTTCTGCAAAATACATCTTTCATTAATTAATTTGTTCTTCAATTTTTTTCAGCTTCTGCAGGCGATAGCTCATCAAATGGGAACTCATGGCACGAATCTCGCTCATAGTATTTTTAAATCTTGGATCTTTTTGTTGATATTTCTTCCTCAATTCTGTTGGTTGTTTTTCTCAATTTGTATTTATTTATTTATTTTTTTTTTTTAAAACTTGGATCACCAGTTGTTTTTAGATAACTTAACTGGTATCAAAAGACTTTCTTCCTGTACTTTTTCTCTTTCCTTTCTGTAAACTGATCTTTATCTAGATGTGAAAAGCGACAAATTATCTTCCTTGCAGAAGAAGAGACAGTTGTCCTCCGTTCTCAGTAGTCATGAAATCCGTGAAAGCATAAATGTCACCGATGTGTCTGTAAGCATTAAATTCTGATCTGAATAGACTTTAAAAAAAGGAAAGGTCAAAAAAAAAAGAGGAGGGGGGACTAATTGAAGGGCTCAAATTTAAGCTCTCATCGACAAGGACCAAAGTATGGCTTCTCATACCAAATAGCAATTAGGAAAGCCTGAACTTTTTGCCAGTCCAATATTCTCCTCAAAAAGTTATAGTAGGTTGTCACATCCTTTAAACTAGTAATATTACTTTAAATGTTGAACAAATTCAAATACCATGTACGATGTTATTTGACAGGTCTTGATTTTATTTATGGGGATCCATGAGAGAGATAAATCCATCTGAGATCTATCCATGATATAGTTCAAGATTTTGGCTACAGTTCTGAACTTTAATTATAAGAATTATTCAAACGAATATTGCACTGATCTTGGACGTCCATCGAGTCTGTTTAGCTTGTAGATGGATTGAAATGCGATGAGTTATTTTTGGCAATTATGGGTAAAAAAAATAATAAATATATTGAACTCTTAAAAATAATTCGTAAATGAGAAGTATCTCTTGTTTTACTGTGGATGTCAAACACACATGTAATCCTGCAATTATTGCTCTTTAATTGCAAATGACTACTGCAAATTCAACTGTTCCTTCATTCGCCATAAACAATACAACACAGTTTTCTAAAACCTGGCCAGTCAAAAGTTCTAACTGCATTTTAGGCGATACTTTTTGGTCTTGGATTCTCGAATAATCTTTTCAATCAATTCTGTGGTCTGAAAAAGGAAAAGACTTAAATCATGGCGGACTCAACTAACGTATGCTTTGAATGATTTAATTAAAAGATTTTATTAACTGACTCGTGTAAACCTGCTTTTCTGGTCAGTTTATGTGACCTATCAAATTTGACCTCATGTTTCCCGGAGTAAATTTTTCTCAGGACAGGAATGAGTTCTGAAAGTCTAAATTTTTTGTCAGAGCTCCTTGCTCTCTATCCTGCATTGTAAAATGCATTATTGAGTTATCTCCTTTTTTTACGCACCGCATTGTTAAGAGCTTGGCCTGGTTGATGATTTCGCGAAAATTATTTGTGCCATTGAAATTAAGTTAGGTTAGCTCTGTTCTTATGTTATGATATCAAATCCTTTAAAGCCGTTTGACTATTTACAGTGAAGTCTAGAATTACTCTCATCCAAAAATATTTAAGGGGAGGAGACAGATACTTCTTTCTTAGATTAAATAAAGTTAATAATCTTGAAAGGAACTAATACAAAAAACTAACACCCCTTCACAAAATTAGTTAAGGTGGATCATAATCACTTTAGAAATTGATGTGATAGTTGATCAATCAATCGAAAATTTTTGGATTTTAGGAAATTTCTTGAAAAATCTCTTAGTATCATGTCTTACTGAAGTCTGTCAGGTGTTCACACACAAGGCTTAGCCTTGAAGCATTTTAAAAATATGTCTTGAGTGAATGTTGCAAATTGAAAGGCATAATGATTTGCGATATACACTGGGAACGCACTTTGAAAGCTATGCATTTCAAAATTTTTCTCGGTGAAAACTTGTGGACCAACACCGGACAGACTATAGCATGATGTGACGCTTGGAGATATTTGAAGAAATGTCTTAATACCCAGAATGTCCACAATAATTGATGATAATGATCTTCAATTGATCTATCCACTGTGAAATTGTTCACTAAAGTGTTGAAGATCCAATTTCACATCATGAGAAATCTTTTTCCCAAATCTATTGCCACTTTTATCTGTAACTGCGTCATTTTTTTAGTATTGTTCCAATCTGGTTATTCGAATTCAAGGCAATTTTACATTCGTGTTGACTGTCAGTCAAATGTCAATGTCTACCGTTTGTTCCTCTTGGTGTGCATTCCGTGAAATCTGAAGCGTTCCAGCTTAGACATTACAGAAAAAAATTGGACCATAGACTCATCTGTTCTTAATACATTAAATTAAGCATCAATAAGTCATTGGCAAATTATATCAACTATTCTAAGGCTCAAAGGCATTATTATTTCAAGGAAATGGTTTGAAAGAGGACTGTTTATATTTCTTGAAGTGACCAAGTGTATTTCTGCTTTGTATTTTGTTGACACACTAATTAAAAAGCTATTGTGATGTGATCTAACATTTTTTAAAAAGTATCTAATTATATGTAAGAAAAACAACCACATTTGCATGAAGATTTCATATTTTTCAGAAATATTGCAGAAAGAAGTGCTTTTGCTCTGTTCACGTCTCATGACTTTCCTGATTAAATTTTACTTGCCAATAGTAAATAAGTACAGAAGTAGTTTCTTAGCTATCAGTGCAAACATGGTGCTCCCATTTTGAAATCTTTTTAGGTAGCATGATTGAAAATTCATCAATCTGAAAGAGTTTGTTTCACTTGAAAAATAATCGGATTCATTGTGCTCTCTCTGCATTTTTGGGCAGCAACATGTTGTGGGTAGAGGATCCTTGACTTATGAAACATTACAATTTTTTTGGTGTCATAGTTCATGAGGACAGATCTGCTTCTTATAAGCACTAAGCTTCTCCCAATATTTCTAGAAGTTGGAATTTCAAAGCATAGTTTCAAGCAAAGTTTAGAAAAACAAAAGACAAAGAAAAATGGTAAAATTTTCAAGATGATGAAAATACAAGTCTGTACATGTTAAGGACTCTCTCCTCTCCTTGTGACAGGCCAATTCAGCCTCGCTATTCAGCTGCAAAGAAAATTTTTCTCCCGTTTTCTGTTTATTTTCATTCAAAGGAAAGATTATCACATGAGTGTGATTGATCAAACATTCTTTAAAATTTCTTCTTCAAAAATTAATATCTACGATCAAAACTTCATCTGTTCAACATTGAATCACTATTCCTTTTTTTACCTTCCTACCCTCTCATGGAGCGTTCTTTTATTTCGTCATCAGTTTTTCTTTTCTCCACAATCTTTTAACTCCATCCATCCTAGAAAGGGAATATTTTCTTTTTTTCTTTTTTGTTTAAATGAGTGAACGAAACGAAAATACATGAATAGTGAATGTATAAACTTAAATTTATGTGTGTATATTTCATTAGTTAAAGATTTAATTTAATGATGGTATGATGTATGTAGGTGATCGTTGTTTGGTGTGCAGTTGCACGTTTGAACCAAGTGCCGTGCTCAGAAGGCACGAGAGACTAATATCGTTGATTTTGCCAACTGTACAAAGTGTATAAAGTGGCGTAAATACATTTTTAATGTGTTTTTACTTCTGGCTTTTGAATTGTCAGAAGTGATTGTAATGGTGACTTTCTTTAATCAATTAACATTTTCCTCTTCCTGTTTTGACGGACTATTGCAGTGGAAACTCTCGTGTTATTATACTTAAGACAGATGGTACTATGCAGTACTCAAAGGCAACCCCTTTTTTTGTGCATGATTTGTCAAGCTAAGTCACATCGTGAACTCCGTGTTGAAAAGTTTTCTTCGCTTACTGAAATTGGTTTGTGCAGATCTAAAGTTTGTACTATGCTGATTCAGAATCAACAAAATTCTCTTTTTCCAAATTTTTTACAGCCTTCCTTATCACTCTTTGCAAGACGGTTCCATAACTATGGAGTTGTAAATTACGAATGACAAGGCAGAACCTCCCTCCCATCAGCATCAGATTTTTCATGAAATTTGGCCTAAAATCTGTTCTCACCTAAAATTGTATACAATTTTTTAAGGTCAGAGTTTTAAGCTGGGTCCTATCTTCTTGAGTCCTTATATTGGACTCGCATTTCTCTCAAAATGTGATACTTTGCGGAAAGCTCCTAAAGTTTCCAAACAAGGTCGTTCCTTTAATAAGGAAACTGAAAAAGTAAAATGAATCATAATAGTTAGTATGGGAAAATGTATGGAATAAGATACTTCTTGTGATTAATTGAAGTAATAAATAAAATAAAAAGCATAACTTGGGCAGAGGAAGCTGTCAAACTGCTAAAAAACTTTGTTTTGTAGGCTCTTTAACGAGCCCATTATTTTGCATTACTTTTGCTTTGGAAGGAATCTGCTTTTGTTCTCCCAAAATTTGGCATTCATGGTTGGAGTTGATTTATTTATTTTTCTGGGAGTGATGACTACTCATCAAGTTTGCTCTTAATTGCGACAAATTGAAGTCTGTTGGACTTTGAAAAGCCATTTCTGTTACATTTTTCTGATCAACTTGATACCAAAATTATACAATTGCACAACCTTTTTCTCTTGAAGACTAATCGGCTCTTAAATATCATTGTAATCAGGAAATATTTCCAAGTGATCTCTCTGCATGACTAATACTAACAGAGTGCAAATTTGTCTTATAAAAATGAAAAATCTTAATTACTTTTTAAGGTCCTAAGTTGTGATTCAAGTATTTCATTGTTACTGCAAAAGGTCTTTTTAGAGTTTTTAAAGTGTCTAATCCTTTGTTTTCTTTATTGGGAACTACGTGATTGACTTACTTGCTTTTTTTTTCGCCCGATGAATTTTTCGGTTGTCACTATTTAAACTTAAACGATGGCCATTCGGCTTCTATGGAAGCCATCATCAGGTAATTAATAACTAACAAGGAAAATAAAAACAAAAACCGAAGTTAAAAAACTGACGTCAAAAATTCCACTTATTATCGCCGGCGACGCGTCGTGATACTAGTCAGTGCAATATCTTGCCGGTGATCAGCTGACTGTGTTGCGTCACGTAGGAGGGCGGGGGGGACGATCACTGGTGCCACCTGTTGCTCGATTTGTGAATTAAGTAGCTGTTCCTTAGGTGTTTTCATTATTTCGATTTGTTCTAATACAAATACACTAATGAAAACAGCTAACTAAGGAACAGCTACTAAATTCACAAATCGAGTAACAGGTGGCACCAGTGATCGTCCCCCCTCCCTCCTACGTGACGCAACACAGTCAGCTGATCACCGGCAAGATATCGCACTGACTAGTATCACGACGCGTCGCCGGCGATAATAAGTGGAATTTTTGACGTCAGTTTTTTAGCTTCGGTTTTTGTTTTTATTTTCCTTGTTAGTTATTAATTACCTGATGATGGCTTCCACAGAAGCCGAATGGCCATCGTTTAAGTTAAAATAGTGACAACCGAAAAATTCATTGGGCGAAAAAGAAAGTAAGTAAGTCAATTTTTAAAGTATATTTTCTGTGATTGCTGTTTCTGAGCTTGCATGCTTCTGAAATAAAGGAGAAACTGGATGAGTGAAAAGGGTCTAATAATATTAGTTTATTTCCTTTTTTTATTTGTGCGTTGTATTAATTTAGCCACAATATTCCTAAAGCAAAAGTGCATGATTATATCTCGTTGAATTTTTCAAGTTCTGACTGATTTATGAAAATCAGAAAAGATCTTTCAAGCTACACTTTTCCAGTCTCCTTAAATTATTTTATTTCAAATAATTCAAATTTCAAATATTATTAATATAATTTTTTCTCATCAGAAATACTTATCAAAATTTACCTGTACCAAAAATTCAGTCAGTTGATCAAGATCAGGAAGTTCTACACTTCCGCTTTGAGCAATTTTGCCCTTTATGTTTCAAAATATAAAGTTTAAAATTACATATCTTCCAACAATTGAAAATGCTTAGTTCATATATTACGTGTGACGTAGTTGGGGGCTTCTTTTATTTTTTTTCTTTTAAATTGAGAAAAAAAGAAATGAAAATTCTCAAACTATAAGGCAATTCGTTTTGAATATTTAGATAGAATATAAAGATTTTGTTTTAATTTATTCTGCCTCAAGCACCTGTAAACAATTCATTTGAGTTGGTACTTCGGACAGAAAACATTTTAGACTTTCTTCTGTTTGAATTAGATAAGCAATATTGTGAATTAATGACCAGTACAAACCCATTAAAAGGCAAGAAGCAGAAAGGCCTGTGTTAGTTTAGTTTTAGCATAATGATTTCTGTCGAAACTTTCCGAGAGAGTGATTTGCAACTAACATTCACGTAATAAACTCCGCAACAGGAGTATCAGCTTTTGGCTGCCGCTTGTCGAAAATTGTTTGTGAATTTATCGATTCGTGTGTGTATTAAAATCTTACAGCAGTGTGTAACTTTAGTCTGTAAAATAATTGTTAAGTGAATAACAACTATGAATTTTAAAACATGTTGCCTGCTATTTATTTTTCTCTCTTTTAAGGACGGTTATGTCTTAAAAACGGTAACACATTCCGTTTTCTGGAGCTCTAAGGAAATCCTCTTAATGCACATCATGGTGACTCTGAGGCGTGATCAGCCTTAGTGATAATGTAAAATTTCATTTCAATTCCTTCATCAAAATATCAATTAAGTAACTGAAAAGCAGGAGGTATCACTACCGAGATGTTAGAAAATATTTTCGCTTGTCGAATTTTTCCAATTTTCCATTTATTCAAAAACTAGTCATGCTCAATCTACTGCCACAGTGTATTGATCGAGATGCTTTGAAAAATAGAATAACAAATTACATGGCTAAAAAAAAAAAAAAAAAACGTGGACATGCTCACCTTTCGTTAGTACAAACCATTAAGCCTTAAAAAACAGCATCCATAAATTATCATTCAATGGAAAAAAAATTGTTGGCATAAGAAACGCCAACAAATCAAAAGAATGAGATCTTGGTAGCAGAAAAACAGGCATGGACGTAGAACCGACTTGTTTCTGATTGGCTGGCGTGACTTGAATGATACATGTCTATATGAAAGGTTTGTGTACAGGAGCTCTGGCAATGTGTTGGTAAGAGACAGTCTGATGGATATAACACAACTCGAAGACTTCTTCCAGGTAATGCTTTTTTGCAGCAGCTGCTACATCCATAGCTGCTTTTTTGACCACTGTTGAGATCCTTGATTCACAGTCATTTTAACTGAAAACTGCTCAAAAAGGTCAAAATTGCTCATTTTCAGTTTTTCAATTATTGACTGCTCATTGCCTTTTGATGTACTTCGTTAGTGATTGATGATGAATGATGAGGTTCGAGTCTTTTTCGGGATCAACATTCCCCAGGTGCAATCTGAAATAAATTAAAAAATGCAAGATAGAGGAACCAAGTTTAATGGAGATAGATAAATAGACATTGAGTCGCATAATGGAAAAAAAATGAAGTACACGTGATCCTAAATTCACCTATTCGTAACTTCTTTAGTGTTTATGCAAATGATTGGAAAGCTTAGACCTTAATATCCATCTACCTTGATGTGACTGGGTGTCTCTCTGTAAAACTTTGCCCACTTCATTTACTCATTTTTTTCATCATTCCCTTAAGTAAGTGAAAAGAAAAAGTTGCATGGGATAACAGAGAAAGGCTTTCCTTTCTGTTTTTTTTCCAGCTAGGACGGTATGTAAATAGATAAAAATTTCTCATTGCAATAATTAGCAGAAACTTGACCATCTTCCGAGTAGCATTTAAACAGAAAAGTCGTGATATTTTAAAATTAAGTTGCGGTTTTTTTACGAGTTTTTGGCGATAAAATCGATAGGGTCATCAACATCTGAGCAATTATCCTCAATTTTGTCGCAAATTTTATCTCCATAAAATCGAAATTTTATTGCAATCATTTAATATTGCAATAAATTAAGGTCCATAAAGTCACGATACATTCTCTGATTCATTTGCAACTTATCACAATCACTGCTACTTGGGCTGTCACCCTGAAACATTTGCCATACTTACTATACAAAAAACGAATATTACTCTGAGAAGAAATTCAAATAATTAACTTCTTTCTTACACTTAAAATAGGTCAACACATAAAAATTAAAGAAGCCAATGCCTAGTCATGTGCAAGAACTTCTTTGACTCTCATGACTGAGAATTCTAATCTACCCATGTCATTTACGTACGTAGAAAGAGAGAGTATGTAAAAGTTAATAAATTTAAGCTATTTAATCGCTTCCTGAATTGTAAAACTTTAATGAAGTTCGATCAGTTCTCAAACTCGTTCTGTAATTAGAACTATGCTAATTCATTGGCTTGGAAGGAGAGAAAAAAGGAACGCAGGAGAATAACCTCAGAATAACACATTTTGAGAGGAGTAATATAGTTGATCGTTTGTACATCAAACACGCAACTAATTACTACGAGGGTCATCGGTAAGTTTCCCTACCTTGTATCTTCCGAACAAAAAGAGGCACATTAAATCAGTAAAAAAATACATATTAAGCTCACTCTAAGCTGTAAAAAGTCCAAGTTTTTGAAAATCGGTCAAGGGGTTCGCGAGAAGAGTTAATTTTACTGATACAACCTCTTGTCGCACCGCGCTCACCTCCCGGATCAGGATGCGCGGAGGGTCGATTACTTTAGACTCGGGTATTCGCCTCTAAATATCACATAAAACAGGAATTTAAAAGTTTTCATTGAGTAGGTCTTGCCTTTCTCTTTGAAGTAGGCTCCACATCTTTTTTAACATTTCTGGTATCATTACAGAGCTTTTTGATGCCTTCCGTCTAGAGGCTCTCGCCTTGGCACCGAAACCAGTCATTGACAGTGATCTGTACCTCTGAATTGGTTGGCAATTGCTTTTCATCGGGGAAGTTTTTCCGCTCGGGAACAGATGAAAGTCACATAAGGCTACATTAAGAGAGTATGGAGGATTGGGGGGGAAAATTTCCCGAAGCAAAGCAGCTGATTTAGAAGTGTAGATCGCTGTCAATGACTGGTTTCGGTGCCAAGGCGAGAGCCTCTAGACGGAAGGCATCAAAAAGCTCTGTAATGATACCAGAAATGTCAAAAAAGATGTGGAGCCTACTTCAAAAAGAAAGGCAAGACCTACTCAATGAAAACATTTAAATTCCTGTTTTATGTGATATTTAGAGGCGAATACCCGAGTCTGAAATAATCGACTCTCCGCACATCTTGACCCGGGAGGTGGGCACGGTGCAACAAGAGGTTGTATCAGTAAAATTAACTCTTCTCGCGAACCCCTCGACCGATTTTCAAAAACTTGGACTTTATACAGCTTAGAGTGAGCTTAATATGTATTTTTTTACTGATTTAATGTAACTCTTTTCGTTCGGAAGATACAAGATAGGGAAACTTACTTTTTGGATGACCCTCGTATAATTACCACCAGTGATGGCGGAAATGGCCTGAGAGGAAACAAGAAAGACAAGCAAGAAGATAAACCCAGTAAGATACATATTTTTTCCCATGGAAGAGAGAAAAACAAAAAGAGAGGTCATCATTTCAACCAGATCAGGAATCATAACGTAATTCATAAGTAATAAATACAGGTCTGCAAATTAATAATCCTATCTGCCTCACTCTAGTTCGATATGTACATGTTTTAAAGCAAAGATCTCTGGCATCATAGTGCTCACGTTTCTTGACAGAAGTTTCGTCTGATTATTAAACTGGATGATATGATTGGTAATTGCAGATTAGCCACTTTGATGCATTGAACGCCAAAGGTTGGCACCAAAAAGTCCTATCGGAGTCGCATTTAGATTCAGCTAGGCGTCTGTAACTGATTGTGAGAGCAAATAAATAGCCAAACTCATGTCCCTGCCGAATGGCTCAAGACGATTGCCTATTGTTTTGAGTTGGCAACAATTTTTTTTATAGAAACATTACTTGACAAAGCCTTTGCCATGGCAATTACAGAGCAAACACAAGCCCAAGCTATGGAGGCTAAATGTAGCAAAAAATGGAAATTTCGGAAGTTAGAAAAAAATCAATGAAAGATTTCGGGCAGTCAGTTCAGCATTGCTGATTTAACTTTGCAGAGTGATAAGTATAAAATGCTCCTTAAAAATCAGGCTTAGAAGCTGAAATATAAGGGGCCATAGAAATACATAAACATTGACACATCAATCTTTTCTGATGCATTCTTTTCCTTGCAAAAATACGTGCTCCGTAATAGCCATGTCAAAGGTCTTTTTGGTAAAAAGAAATGATAGGCAGCTCTTTTAAGTTTGCAATAAAGTTGGAATATGGCTAAACAACGTCTCATTTCACCCGAAGCATTTTCTTGAACGACAGTGTGGACATGTCTACTTCAACATTGCCAGTATAATCAATGATGTAGGCAGCATAAAACCGCAAAAAAGAAAGAAAAAAAATCTTGCACAGGAGTGTACGGGTAATGGATGATAATTTTCATGGGAGTGAACGTGTTAATGTGCAAAAGAGGGATAGAAATGATAAGTCTTGAACATGAGTGAGAAAAACAATGAACAAACATGCTTTGATGTTCAGTTTTTGAGAATAGTAAAAACTTAAAGTAAACATAGGAACGTACGTTCATATCCAGTGCTTGGTATTAAAATTACTCCCGACTTTGTATTCAGGTACCCATGAATCAGGAAATTATTGGGTATATTTCGTTGATTTCTCTTTATACGAGGGGTATTCGTAAAGTAAGTTAATATTTGTCATATCTTCTAAACTAATAAAGATAATTTAAATCTGTAAAGAGTTTGTGAATTTTCATACTCTCAGCTTTCTAAAAAGTTTCAGTTTTTTAAATTTGGTCCTTTGAGTGCCGATTGACATCAGTTTTCCCACACCCGCCTCTCACCACCGCGTGTCCAAAATTGACGCGCGCTGGGGAGGTTACAGGACGGTAGCATGCGGCTTCATCCTGCAAATTGTCAAAATGGAATTTTTTGTTTAAAATTTAAAATTTACATGTTTGTGAAGATCTGACTTTACTTTTCCACGTAATCCCCATCTCGTTGGACACATTTTACATACCATGACAAGAGCTTTTTTATTCCATCAGCGTAAAACTGGCGATTCCGTTTTTGCAACCACTTTTGTACAGCTTCTTTCACCTCATCGTCGTCCACGGAACTTTCTTCGCCAAAACTCTTCTCTAACTCAGGTAATAAGTGATAAATCACCTAGGGTGAGATCCTGAGAATAAGGAGGACGTGGGAAAGGTCTCATTTTAAGGAGGTCAACAACTGATTGGCCACATGAGCTGTATGGGGCCTAGCATTGCCATGAAGCAGCATCACTTGACGAGACAAAAGGCCAAGGTATTTTCTTTTGAATGCTGATTTGTGAGCCTTTAATGACATCACATTTTCTGTTTGCATCAATATTTGTGCTTCTTTCTAAGAAATAAATGAGTAACACTCATTGAGCACCCCTAAAGACGCGCGTCAATTTTGGACACGCGGTGGTGAGAGGTGGGTGTGGGAAAACTGATGTCACTCGGCACTCAAAAGACCAAATTCAAAAAACTGAAACTTTTTAGAAAGCTGAGAGTATGACAATTCACAAACTTTTTATAGATTTAAATTATCTTTATTAATTTAGAAGATATGACAAATATTAACTTACTTTGTGAATACCCCACGCATTTTTTGTTACAAGTTCAGAACTTTCCTCACTTATTTCTCCTCTGATCTGCATGAGCACCTAGTGCTTCCCCCATTCAGAAAATAGTATACTATCCGAGTTAAAGATAAATTATGAAAAATACGAAGCTAAACTCGTATTGAAGCTTCAGTTATCATTCCACCTTTAGCCTTTGCCTCACTGCTTACAATAAAGAAGGCAGCTTTCAGTCTTGATCTCTGTCATCTGGTAGAATTTCACTTAGTAAAGGTAAAATTTCAGTTTTTCGTTTTGCAATGTAAAGTGTGTTGTTGTCACTAAGTCCGATTTGTAGAAAAGGTCAAAACTACGATATTGTTCCTTCGAAGCTGTATTGGAATGGAAACAAGAGCAGACAAAACTCACAACTTATTGTGCATTGTTCCCTCTAAACCTTCTCTACCAACAATTTTTTCAAGGAACCATTTTTCACCAATCTAATAGGCACTTTAACCATCTACAACATGAGTCTTAAGCGGGTAAAAAAATGGATCAAGTGATCTGTTGTCATCGAAGAATATTGGCAAAATTTGGACCATTAGTTTTTGTTACTAAAAGTGATGGGTGCAGGGCGGAGTCAAGTAAGCAGCTCGATCATTGTTTGATGATGGATTGACTTTGGCAAGCTTGGTTTCTTTCAATGAGCAAGTGTACTTGCGCCTCTAACTTTAAATGAAAACTCCCGCTTGTCACTAACTCCATTTCAACATTTTGTGGTGTGGACTACAGTTTTAATCTTTATTAAGTTGAGTATGTTCATGTTTGAAGAGGAATAAGGACTAAGTTTAGAGGATTTATTGACTATAGCCTTTTTTGCAGTAATTTTAGCTAACTCCCCTCTACAACCATAAATATAATCTTGCAAAGAACTTTTCACACGGAAGCCAGAAGATGACACTTATGTACATTTGCACCCCAAGCATGAACAAATATTATTGAAATTTGATTGAACTGCGTGAAGTTATGTCCTTTCCAAAAAACTGGAAGCAAATAAACACCAAAATTTTGAACGAATTTGGTTTCATTTTCAATTCTCCGCAGAAAACATATTAAAATTTCTTCAAGCGCAAAAAATTATCGTAAAAAACCAAGATTTTAGCCAAAACAAGTCAACTTTGAAGTTCGCTGATTAATAAGCCTTACCTAGGTGCAATGTCTTGAAATTGCATGGTTTTGGCTTTGGTTGTATGCTTTTGAAAGAAGAAAACATAATAGCGTGCTTAATGGAAGCATTTCCTGCAAAAAATTAAAAACAAAACCAAGAGTACAGCACGATTTGTTTGGTCTCACAATTGTTCTCTTTTTTGGTGAGTTTTTACCTTATGAACAGCTTACGTTACTATTACATACTGTTGAGGTGAGAGTATAGTGAAATTTAGAAACTTTTTGCCTGCCTTCCAACTGGTTAAATGGCTTTGACCGAAATCAGCCTGAATACCTTTTACATCACAATTTCCCTGTTTTCTTTTTTTCTACTAAAAATTGAATGAAATAATGCTTTGAAAATTGCTGGGATAAAGAATATACATCATCACAAAATCTCATGGCAGATGTCATTTAGTTTCCTGTCGAGAAAGCAATGTGTAATGTGCTTAGACTGATTCTGGGTAATATCCTCCAACAGCAACAAAGATTTCACGGCAGCTATTGCAGAAGAAGCTATTCATGGAAACACAGAACGGAACGAACAGACGTAGAAACAATCACGGAGCTGAACACATGCGACCAATAATTTTCACATGTAGAATTGAAATAGGTCCAAACTCACGAAGTTCCTGGTTACGGTTGGTCGAAGTCGCCGAATACGCGCCTTTGATAAGAAATAAACGGTCAGAACTTACTGCTCTTGTTCGAGGTTGTGCAACATTTGGAAGCCGTGCTCGAGAGAGGACTGAAACCCATCGTTTTCAGTGCCGTCTTCGGCCGGGAAATGAAGCAGAGGAATGTCATCATCATCTTGCTTGAACTCCATTTCAAAGCTCTGTCCATTACTGCTTGGAGAAAAAATAGAAGAGGGTTAGTGTTTGATTCAGACCACATTTATAGCTAATGGAGAGGCTGTGAGGTGTCAGGATATGCTTCAAAACATTGATGTTGCGACTTGCGTTGTTGAAAAATTCAATCCCATATGGATACAAAGCTCTTAAAGTTATTTATAATTAATCATTATCTTGATGCAGAAACAGGGCTACATACAAAGCCAACGTTGCTGCCCTGTGATGAAATTCCACTTATTCAATAAGTAGCGTTTCACTGAAAGTCATGGCAATTTTGCATGTTTCTTGCTGATATTAATGATGTCCAAATGAGAAATTCGAAACCCCCAAGTCTGAAAGAGGAGAACCACAGTGAAATACCTCAGCAAAACATACCTGGTCTGACGGAAATAATTCATCAGGCCACTTTTCCCTTCTTTTCAGTATAAAATCGGGATTCGCACTGTATTTGACTCCAAAAACTTGACCGGGATGTATGTGTTCAATAGTACGTATAAAATCGTCATGCTGTATGCATTACTTGCATTGTATGAAATCAAATATTTAGTAAATTTTATACTTCAGATGACAAAGTCCGGTAATCTGACTATTGCTTGAGATTTTTTTCATAATAATGAGACAAACCTTATGTGTTCTTGCTTTAGAAGATTTGTGAGTGCAGCTTCATTGGCAATATTTAACTCTTCCACCAACTTTTCACACTGGAATCTCGAGCTCTTTTGGTAGTCCAAAACCTGAGTTTGATAGTAATGATTGAGGGAACGAAGCGGGCCTATATTCATTTCATGGAACACCCGCTCTAGACGAAACTAAAGTATAACAAAATTAAAGTCTTATAAGTAAATACTCAGTGGTTACAGAGAAAATGTACCATTCTCAGAGACTAGCATTTGTCCAATTTTCATCATGACCCTTGAACAGTTATGATCTACCAATTTACACAGAGATCAATAATAGAGCACTTATTTAGATATTGAGCCAGCCTCGATGATGTAGTGATCAATGCTGTTGGCTGCCGGCACTAAGGTTCCAGGTTTGATCCCTAACAAGGACGAATCTATATGGACCCTAAAAAACCACCATTACAGCTGCAAGTGAAAATGCAATTTCATTACCCTGTTTGTTCCTGACCAAACCAAAACTTTATGAAAAGCTAAAGCCAGTCCGGGTTTTTTAAAGACATTGCAAGACAATCAAATTCCGAGCCAATTCCGATCAAAATAGACCATTTGATGGCTATTGGTCAACGTACAACATTCACCTTTGATCAAAATTGGATGGTCTGTCAAATTTTTAATCAAAATAGAGGGCCACCATAATCATTTATTGCCAACAGAATATTCATGCTGAGTTTTAATTTGAAAATAATGGAAAGTAACGATTTTAGGGCTGAAGACTTGCGACACTTGGATAGGACTTGATTTTGGACTTTGATTGTCTATCGAGGCCTTTACTTTCCTGCAGATAGACTTCTTTGTTTCATGCTACTCTGTTTAGGGCTGCATTTCATCCAAGTCTGTATGCATGAGAATTAATGGAAAACCATCAACATGTTTGCTCCAAGACTGATACTTGCCATTACAATGATATTTGAACAATAAATTGGGTCTTTATCAGCTTCTGTACTCTGATTCTAACCCAAACTAGATTATCACTCTTAATTTTGACACCTAATCTAGCCTCTAAATAGATTTGTTCATCCTTAAACTTCCTGAAGTAGATAGATGCTATCTGCATACATTCTACTGTTCCAGAAAAAGTATCAGACCCACCACTTTAACTGAATTTGAGTTGTTAATGGTTTGAGAATTTTTCGATATCTTTAAAAAAAAAATATTAGTTTTAAAATCACAGAACGCTTTAAAAACAGTCAAAGTCAAAGAAAATATGCATGGTGCTTAAAGGTGTTTGACAACTTCTTTTGCTTTTTGGGATGTGTTTTTTGAGGATTTAAAATCAAACTCAAGTATCAAAAGTGACAGCATGCATAGTGTCTACTGCATCCACCACTCCTTATGTTTATAGAATCTACTCGAGAATGCAGTATTGCTAGCACCAATTTTCACGATAAGAATTATTTGTGGCTAAAAATCTTATTTAATCATTATTAGTAAACGCGTTCTACATAGATTATTAGGTTATATCTTCTGTATGTATTATGGATTATTATTACATAGGCCTAAATTACCTTTCTAGCCATATCAAATCAGTTGTTTGTGTCTCCTGTAAAATTGACTTTTTCCTGTTTTTTATACACTTCCCATGAAGGGGGAAAAAAGCTCATTAAAAAAAAAAAATGGTCAAGAACAATAAAACTTACCAGATTATCTGGAGAGAGGTTTTTATCGGCATTTAACCTTAACCTTCGGCAAATTTTCGTTATTAGATCGCCCGCTACTGATGTTAAAACTTCTATAGCTGTGGATGATGAGTCTGAAATAAAGCAGCCTTTGTAAATCAACCAAAGGTTCAAAAATTTTCCGATCCCACGGCAATGAACCTGATTCAATTTTAATTAGATTTAAATTACAGATCACATTAATCTTTCCACTTACTGATTCAAACTTTTCATCCGTGATGCTCTGTAAATTATTTTTAAATGATGTATGAGAGAGTGGGAGACCTCTTTCTCCGAATGAATTATGCAACAATGACAGTTTTTATATTTATCCAGCTAGCCTTGGTAGAGAAGGCAGATTGCAGCACTAAGCAGCTCTAAGCACTGAGGTCCTGGGTTCTTTAGGCCAGGGTCCATGGTGGTGACAGATTTTGATGTACACTTAAAAATTTGCTAAGGGGCCGTTCATATATTGTGTAACCCATTTTTTTCAATTTTTCACATTACATTCATTGTATTGTGATTAATAGTGGGTCACAAAAAGTGTGGGCAACTGCCAGCATTACCCATCAAAAGGAGATCATAACAATCAAATCCAAATCAATAGGGGCGTGGCCCGGCTCTAAATCAAACTGTTCGGCAGCATTTTTTAGTCATTCATATAAACCTACCATTGGCATATCAGACAGCAGCTAAGCCTTTGAAAAGTGACCTTGGTACACAAGAAGAAAAAAAGATAAGGAACACAGTCCAACAATCTTCTCCTATCTTCTCATCTGGAAGAAAGGCCTAGCTCAGCAAAGCTACCTTAATATTTTTATATTTATGTAGAGAGAAAAACAAGAAATAAACGTACAGTCATATCCCCTGTGAGCTGCTAAGGTTGCAACACATTTGTGTAAAATCCTAGTTCGAGTCCGACTGTTCAGATGGAATGGAGGACTGCCAATCCCAAGGACAAAGTCACTGGTAAATAGAGAGGAAAAAATGTATTAAACTTAAATTGCCTTAAATTTTTCTGTATTATATGGATTCAAATGAGTACAATTAAAGCAAAAAGAACCAAGTGGCATTTCGGAAGAAATGAGAAAGGAATAGTTTTGAGTTTCACTAGCTACATAGCATCACCCTTCAGAGAAGCATTGAAAGCACCATTTAATTAAAATTGAGTTATTGATGGTTCCATATGCTTTAGATAGTTTCACAGATGAAAATAGTAGTTTTTTGTTGAATTAGAATCATTAATTTCTTTAAAGGACTGTTCAAATTGAGGAAAATGCATAACTTAACTGCCATGCCTGGGTTCACGTATCACAAGCGTCAAGTTTTACGATGGTGAGAAGCATTTTGACAACTTTTCGTTGTTTTTTTGTTGTTTGGTCCAACTTTAGGGACTGAAAAGCAAACGCAAGTATCACAATCGCCAAACAACATTCATAGTGCCTCTTAAAGCTACCATAGTGATCATAGAATCCTCACAGAAAGCAGCATCAAAAACAACAATTACTTAAGATTTGTCTTTCCTTTAACTTTTATTAAATTATAAATATGTAGTAAACATATTCAATGTATATTTGCCAAAATTCACAAGGAAATAAAATTTTTAGCTATTGCAAATCAGTCCTTTGTGCCTCCTGAAAGATTCACATTTTGGCATTTGTGAAAGTCTTTCTAGCAGGAGACGATATTTTCTTTTGTCAAAAATAATAAGGTGGAAAAAATTTTTTGAATGTGAAAGCGTTGCACTAAGCTTTTAACTATTATTTCTATCGTTGAATCTTATGGAGGAACAAAAGAAAAAACCTCTTTTTTCCTATTGAAACTGGACATGACTTGGTTCTTTCCTTTTGAATTCAGTCCAAATGAGCATGTCACAAAATACAATTTAAATAAAGTTGTTTGTTCAATGGGCCTGTTGCAAACTTCTGCAAGAGCAAAAATAAGAGTTTCTCCTTCTAAAAAATGTCTCAAAAATCACGATGATGCATGGGCAAAGTCTGAAATGCACTCCTAACTTTACAATCTGCTTAAGAGATTTGAGTTATTTTGAGCTTGCCACTTTAAAAACGATACTACGGCACAGGTGAACATTTTATTAGAGGAGTCGTCCCAACTAACTCCTGCTCAATAAGATGCTACTTAATAATCGATATGACCGACGCAAATCCGCCAAAACATGTGTGACAGGACAAGATTCTAACCACCTGATAACAATCAGCGTGTTTGCATTCACATTTTTTTCGCGCTGAGACTGTAGAGAGATATCTGCCTTGATTGACCTTGTGCTCCCCTTGACTTACGCAAGGAAGCTTTGGCCATGATGAATATAGTGAGACATCCTATTAAGCAGGGGTTGGATGGAATGACTCCTCTCACAAAATGTTCACCTGTGCCATGGTATTGTTTAGGAAGTGGTAGGCTACAAAAACAAGCATATTTCTTATGAAGACTGTGAAGTTAGGGGTGCATTTCATACTTTGCCAATGTGCTGATCATGATTTTTGAGACATTTTCTATAAGAAACAATTCTTATTTTTGCTCTAGCAAAAGTTTGCATCAGGCCCATTATGCATACGAGGTAAAAGACTAGGAACTGATGCAAAAGACTAAAAGATATTGTATATGAAATAAAAATAGGGAAAACATTTTTATGAATCTGAAGACTCAGTACAAACCTTTCGTAGTCTGGAGGCCGCTCTAAATGTGTGAGTTTTGTCTCTAATAGGGGTGGAATTGGGTTTAAATTTTGAATTTCTATAGTTAGGTCCTTATTCTGAAAAGTAAGAACAAATTTATGTTATGATTAGAGAGATTCAATTCGTAAGGAGCATGCCTTTTCCATTGTAGAGTGCGAACACTCAAAAAACGAGTTGGACTAGTATTTCTCAGCCAGCCTGCAGGCCAGCAAGTCGTCTGCAAGAGAACGTCACATTTTTGGAACTGAAAAGGCTCTATTAATTTTTCTTGAAAAAACAGAAAAAAATTCTGAGATTGCTGTAGGAAGCTGTTTAGTAAGTTTTGAAATGATTTTTGAACTCAGAGGAATAAAATAAGGAGAAGAAAAAAAAATCCATTAGTTTTTATTGAAGGTCTGCGAAGTGCAACCTTTTTGTTTGGATTAAAATGGAGTGAACTACTTGAAGATGGTTTGCAGTTGAAAAATGTTAAGAATGACTAGGCTAGCAGGTAAACAATATTGAATTATGAATGGAAGTAGGGTCAGACAGTTGGTGAGTAGTCAGTCACATTTCAGTCAGTCACTGGAGTTAAGTAGAACCGCCAGTGCCAGAAAAGACATTAGACACCCCTGTGTGAATAAGGACCTAGCGCCTCCTTGCTGGGTGTTTATTGGTTCATAAAGGACCCCCAAGGACCATGGTTACAGTGCCCCCCCCCCCCCCCCCCNAAAAGAAAAACGAAAGTTTAGTGATGCATTCTTTCACTGAGGCTATGTCAGCTGTTAGTATATGGCATGGCATTGCGGGCAATATGTTAAAAATATTTGTGACAATAAATTGAAAAGTTTAAAAAACAGGTCAGTTTTCATAAAAACATCTGATGAGAAAATTGAAAAATTTTAATGCAGTTTTATTACCTCTGCATATATTCTATCCGTTAATTCAGACACTTTTTTTGCATATTGAATCAATTTAATAGTATTTAAAATCACTGGATTCATTTGACTACATTCAACAGGAACTCTGAAACAATAATGGCAACATAAAACTACTGTTTGTAGTTGAATATTAGTTTCGATGGTGAAAAAAGGAAACTCATACCTTGGTTTACAACATTGTGAACTCACTATCAGAGTTAAATTAAACAGAGATGAACTGATTGATTCCATGTAATAATATGCATGGAACTTCAGATGAATTTTCTTGGGCTGAAGAGATATATTTTATACAAATTGGGTATACACCAAAATACAAGTTTTCTGTTAAAGGACTGAAGCAGAAGCTGACGTTTTGATATAAGGTAACTGAAAAATTGTTCACATTCATCGTTATATTTTCTGAACCAGAAATTCGGCAGATGAGCTTGTGCTTGCGCGAAAACCAAACATTGGACTGCGTTAAATTAGAGATGTTTTGGTATTCAAAAGCTGTGGAACGTGCTCCTATTTTTATTTAAAACATGTGCTCACCCTCAAATCTGGGTTCCCAAGTAGCATAGTGTAACAAAAATGTTGATATACCTGATTTTGCAATTTAATGCAGAGAGTAGAGTCAGATTTCATTACAGCATTTCTCAAAGTGACTTTTTTTCAAGTCTCAGTCAGTCGTTTTTTTTAATAGCGTTTTTCAAAATATCAGTTTTCCAAAACTGACTATCTACTTTAAATTCCCCTTCAAAAACATTATAACGAGATACGACGGTATTTTTACATCATTTGGTTGAAATAAAAATACCCACGAGGAGCTGTTCATCAAAAACATAGCACTCAAAGGGGGAGATGGGTCCAGTAGCTAGTATTACACCATTTTGTTTTTACAAGGTTGAAGGATAGGTGTCTGCATCACAAAAGCGTTATAGGTAGGAAAGGGAGGGATAAAAAAACCAGATTTTTAACTTCATGTGTATTACTTACATTATGAGAACTGATTGTGAGACATTTAAGAATGAGGAAAAATGACTTACAACTGAAGGTTGTCATGATCTGGTACATTCTTCTTCTCATCTTCAATATCTGGTTCATGAGGCTCTGTTTCTAAGGCATTCATGACAACTTCCATCTCTAGTTCAGTCAATGCTTTCTGGGGATCTCCTGTGTCAATCGGAGGAATAGTCCCCCACAGTGAGGTGCTAGCTTCCATTTTAAAAATAAACTATACCAGTGGCTGCTGTAAGAAAATTTAATGAGCAGAATTTAGTATTACTGTTTGAATGTACTTACATACGCTCATACTTCAGAAACAGTTGCGCTTCAAATGCAAGAGGAGCGTGAGTCACTTTACATCAAGTTGGACTGGTGAAAAAATTGGCCTCAAAAATTCCAGGAAATTTGGAACACTTGCTCTCCTCACTCAAAGAAGCTCAATGAAGGAATTCTTATCCAATTCTAAAGTTCTCTGAAATCCTCTAATATCCTCGGAGGTTGCCACCTTCTCCACCTATTTCAGGCACTAATTATTTTATAGTGATCATTCTTATTCCACGTAAGGCTCTTGACATCTACTTTCCTATCATGTACAACACTAAGGGACATAAATGAGAATTTACAATATTCTTTTTTAAACAAATTGTAAACAATTTTTAATTTTGAATTTTAAAATCACTCTTAGGCAAAATTTCTGATGTCCGAGTGTTTATGTAGTGTCTGACGAAGGAGAGCTCCAAGTATTAAACTGCCTTCATGAGCAAGGTGAGTTTCTTTTAAGTATGCATGCTTGAGGTCTCCGTCAGATGAGAAGTACCCAAATAATTTTCCGATAATTGAGGTGGCAAATCTCTGCACTTGGAGAATAAACAAGGGTTCATAATGACCTGAAAACAGAATAATATTCTCTCATACAGAAGGAGGTGAGTTCATGATAGACAACAGAGAGTGTTATAAAGAATTACCCGTCGTCCAACTAAGACCTAACTACTGGCATGTGACTTTGTATACCACTTCAACACTCAATGCTCCATTCACCAGCCACGAAAGGTACTGAGCTGCTGCAGTGAGAATTGAATTGCCATGACAGTAATCAGGTAAAAAGAGTTGTCTCAGCGGAGGTTCAAGAACTATCGTCAAACTCCTAACTCTCTTACTGGGTAATTCCCGTTGAGGACTGTTGTCTATCAAGAAAGTATATAGGCATTCTTCGCCTTTGTAAGATGATCTTTCATGTGATCTTCATACTTATGATGCCGCAAGGCAAGCTTATTCATGCTTCTTTTCTAAAATTCCTGAAATAAATCAAGATAAGTGAAGCTTACTTAAAATAAAACTTTTGGTTAATTCAAAACCTCTAAAGACAAGCTCTGTCTTCAGGGAGAAAACATACCAACGACAAAACTGCTGGAATTTGAAGAGGACGGAACAGTTTACGAACAAGTTCTCCAGGAAAGTTTCCCTCGCATTAGTTACAGGGGAAATTACAATTCTTCTGGCCTGACAGTCAGATTCGGTTTGATCTCAAAATGAAACACGTACAAATCAATTTCCTCTTAAGATACAATTAAAATGAGAAAATAACGTTTCGTCAGACTGGTTACCACACAAGGAGGAAAATGTTGAGGTAAACTGAAGCAAATGAAACTGAAGAGTTCGATGAGTGAGAAGTGAGAAATGAGAAGACTACCGGTGACCAGGCGCTCAGTGACAGTGGTGAAAATTCATTGGTTAATGAAGAATAATTCTAAAATTGATGGTAATTCACACTTTTACTAAGTTTTGAACTTTATTTTTTAGTTTTTTTTAGTTTTTACTTTTTGCCCTATAACGGTGCTTTGGCCTTAGTGCATAGGCACAAACAGCCACTAACAAGATAAATGGTCAGTAGATAGCTAGATTATTGATTATTGGTGGTAGAAGAAAGTAGGGTGTTGATTATTTGCTTGGATTATTCACTGTGTGGATGTTGGGAGTGGAAGTTTAAAGTTACACAATTATTTTGTTGGAGCGGATGAAGTTGCTCAGAATGGAGTATTTGTTCTTAGATGGATCAGCTAAGAGGGTGGCTGAGTTGATAGGGAAGTAGACGCCAATTTGGCTCAGTTGGTCAAAGAGTGATGATAAATTACTAAGTTGATTGCACTGTAGAAGTATGTGGTCGATAGTCGCAATTTGTCCACAAGCGCACAGGTTAGAGTCAGCTAGGTTGATTCTTCGTAGATGAGCTGCAAATCGTCCGTGACCCACTCTCAAGCGGGAAATAACGTTGGTGGTGTCTTTTGGGAGGAATATAGTGGAGAACCATGGTGAAGTAGATACTGTGTTTTGGATACTGAAGAGTCGTGCGCCTTTGACTTGTGAGGAATTTTCCCATTCTTGTTGCCAAGCGGCTATCATATTCTCCTTGAGATAAGGAGTAAAATTGGAATAATGGATTTTTTCAAGGCGTATATCAATAGCACCGTCATGATTTCTGGTTAGCTTGTCTGCTTCTTCATTTCCCCATATGTGTTCGTGTCCTGGGGTCCACACTAATCTGATATTAGGGTGTTTTAGGAGGAAGTTTCTGATGTCTTGCAAATCCTGCTTATCTGTAGAGGACTTAAGGTTTGTTATTGATTGGATGGCTCCCATAGAGTCCGTACAAATTGCAGCTTCTTGGATATTTTTTTCGTAGAGTATAACTGTGGCCTCGAATATGCCTCTCATTTCTGCATTTAGAATTGTGAGATGTTTATTCAATAAGAGAGTTCTTGCTATATTTAGTTCTGGGCAGAATATACCGGCAGTTGCTGATTCACTGGAGATAGAACCATCAGTGTAAATGAAAGTTGATTCCTTATTTTCTTCTCTGAAGGCGTTGAAGAGTTTATTTGCGCCTAAATCTCCTTTGCGTTCGATGGGGAAGGAGACATTTATGGAGGCATTTCGATTGTAAGATTTGAAGAAATATTGTCTATTTTCAGCTGATTCTACTTGGGCGATAACATGTTCAAGAGAGAGGGCCCTTGAGAGAATTAGAGGAGGGTTGTTAGTAATTCCTGGGTGGCTGTTGTTCCCCAGATGTAATAATTTGTCAATAAATTGCTTTTTTGATGGTAGGTTAAAATTGCAGTTTTTTAGAATAAATTTATCTGTTACGAGTCTTGCTCTCATTTCGATTGGGGGGATGCCACTTTCTACGTACATGGCGTTTGTAGGAGTGGATCTCATGAATCCAAAAATTCTCCGAATACATTGATTGATATGAACCATCAATTTTGATGCTGTCTTCCTGTTGAGATAGTATTGAATACCGAAATCAGTGACAGAGAAGATGAGGCCTTGGAATAAAGTTCTTGCAAATATTTGGTGAGTACCCCATTTGACACCAGTTAGAACATTCACTAGGTTGGTGTTTCTAGTCAGTTTTTCAGATATGTATTTGACATGTGCAAGCCAGGTGAATTTCCTATCATATTTTAAACCCAAATAGATGAAGTCGAGTACCTCGATGATAGCTTGGTTGTAGAGGAATATTGGAGTTTCGGATAGTTTCCTTTTGCGGGAGAAGGTAATTGCTTTGGTCTTTTCTGCTGATGCTGTGAGGTCGATTTGGTCTAGGGCTTTAATAAGGTTGTCGAGGTCCGATTGTAGGAGTCTAGCGGCTACTTCTTCGATTTTGTGTCTAATATAAATAGCAATGTCGTCTGCAAATTCTAACATCCTACCGAAGGTGACTGCTTTGTGAATTTTGCAGGTGTAAATGAGGTAAAGCAGTGGGCTTAGAACAGAGCCCTGTGCTAGGCCGACGAATGAAATTCTGACTCCATATTCAACTTTATAAAGTTGGATGTAGACTGATTTCCTTCCAAATAGCCAGTATACTGATTTGATAAGTCTTTTGTTGATCCGCAGGTGTTTCATCATTTTTACCAGTGTGGGGATGTGGACTGAATCATATGCTCCTTGTATGTCTAGGAAGACTACTTTTAGTACTTCATTTCGGTTTAGGGCTTCTAGGATTTCCTGGTTCAATACGTTGTGGTTGTCAAATAACGAGAAATGCTTTCGGAATCCAAATTGCACAGGAGATAGGAGGTTGTGATGTTCGACATGTTCTTCAATGAAACCCCTTAGGATTTTTTCATAAGCCTTCCTGACGATGGAGAGAAGCGCTATGGGTCTATAAGAGGTGTGAATATTTTCTGGTTTGCCAGGTTTTTTAATTGGCTTAATTATTACCTCATTCCATTTGGCCGGGGTGGTTCCAAGGTTCATAGTTTTGAGGAATACCTTGTAAAGGTAAACTTTCGCTATCGGAGGGAGCACTTTAAGGAGTTTCGCAGTGATTCTGTCCTTTCCTGGGGTTTTCTTGGACATTGTTAAAAGAGTCTGTTCAAAGTAATCATAGGAGAAGAAAATGGGGTCTTCGTCAAGAACATCCATGTGTAGGGGTTCAGATTCAACATAGTCAGGGGAGAACTTTGCTTGAAAGTCTTTCACCCATGAGTCGTCTTTAGATCTTACTGGCTCTTTGGAGAGGCGTTGGGTTTTTAACTTGGCCCAAATTTCACTGGTGGGCGTGTTTCTGTTTATGGTAGAGCAGTATTTGTGCCAGCTGTCTCTTTTTGCCTTTCGAACAGTCAGTTTAAATTTGTTGCAGCTGATACGATAAGCAATAAGGTCTTCGTATGAGTTGGTTGTCTTGAAGTTTTTTAAGCATTGCGCTCTCAGGTTCTTAGCTTTTTGGCACTCTACAGACCACCATCTTTCATGTTTCGATAACTGGTGAGAAGGGGGTCTGGAATTTTCTTTGGGGGAGAATTTCGAGTTTTCAAGAGCGAATTGGATTACTGCATTCCAGACGTCGTAGTCTTTTTGGCGGACGTTCTCTATGATCTTGAATTGTTGCTCCACAATTTTAGCAAACTTCTTCCAGTTGATCAGTGGAGGAGTGGGGTTGTTCGGTGGAATATCGGAGCATATGGGAGTTAAGTTTGGGTTGAAGGTGAAAATTAAAGGATGGTGGTCGCTTCCTGATGGGATGTCCAGGACTGTCAAATTGGACGATGCTGCTAGTGAGTTTTTGATGACGATTAGATCAGTGAAGCTTGGATCCTGGTTTGGGCGAGTTATTCTTGTGGGAGTAGGGTTGAGAGAGTTGACAACAAACATGTCGTGATCGTTGAATATGTCGATTAGGGCTCTGCCTTTTCTGTCTGAATACGGATAACCCCAAGTAGGATGGTGGGAGTTGAGATCACCAGCTAGGATCACCTTTTCGGTTTCTAGATCTTGGAGAATGGTGATCAGAGGTTGGAAGTCTCCTTTGTACTTTGGCGTTGCGTAGACATTGATGAAGTAGATAGTTCTATTTGGTTCTTTTTTGTCAACAATTTTTGTGGTGGAAATTTCTAGATCAGTTGGATCGTTGGAGTTGTAGCTTAACTGTGGGACTAACTCAGATTTCCAGATATTTTTGTGGCCAGTGAGAAGGCCACCGTATCCGTCCACTCTGCTGGCACTGTATGTGATATAAGACTTTGTTTTAATATTGTCTTGAGGTTTTAGCCATGTTTCGTTCAGTAAAAAAGAATCTGGCTGGTATGTGCGTAGAAAATCGTTAATGTCGAAGCCGTTAGCTCGTATGCTGTGGATATTCCAAAAAAATAGAGAAAATGACATAGAAAAAAAAAATAGATTGAGTTTAATTAGATGATGTGACTTGGAGGTTCTTCTACGTTGGTAGTTTATGGTGAATTTAAAGATGAAAGGGTATTAGTTAGTTGGTGGTGCTGACAAGTTGTTATTATTCTTACTAATTGAGTTGATGATTAATTCTGGTACTTGCATTTTTGGTTGGGAGTGGTCTTGTTGGTCGGAAATGAGATCAGGGTGGGAATCGGAGGTGTCCATGGATATCGGTGGGGAGTCAGCGCGAATGTCCACTTGGAGACCTACGAATTCCAGGTTAGAATCCGTATTATCAGTTTCATTGGGGGGTGGAGGCGGGCTGGAGGTAGAGTTGGTTTCTTTCTTATCCTGGGATGGAGGAGGGTCTCGACTTTTCAGACGATTGACCCATTCACTTGGGAAGTCGTCGTCCGCTCTTCTTTTTTTCTTAGGGTAGGAGAGTCTATCGTGGGACTTACTTCTGGAAGTTTGTTTGGAGGAAGTGTTACCTTTCCGAGAGTTGTTGAGTTCAGGAAACTCTTCATGTCCTAGGGCGATGAACCTGTTATTACTATTAGAAACTGTATGAGTTTTCACCCTGTTGGAGAATTTCTTGTTATTACCAAATTTATAATCATTGCTGTAAGAGTCCTTGATTGCAAGTGCTTCTTTAAAGCTGATGTTGCTTTCTGCCATTATCCCATTCACTTTCCGGAATTCTTTCCTACTGGGGCAGCTACGGTTGGTGGGAAGGTGTGGGCCCTTGCAATTTAAGCAGCTAAGTTCAGATTTAGGGCAGTCTTGTAATTCATGAAAATCATCACCGCACTTTTGACATCGTTTTTTACTGCGACAAAAACGCTGGAGATGACCAAATTTGAAACAGTTGAAGCATAACTGAACTGGGTTAATATATAGTTCTATGGGAGCTATGTAGTAATCGAGCTTTACTTTTTCAGGTAGAGAGTTAGCAACAAAGGTAACGACCATTAATGGTAGAGGATATTTAGTCTTCTTAATCGGGTCATACTTGTGTATTCTTTTGACTTCATAGACTTTATGTTCACATGAGATCATCTCTCTGATTTCTTTCTCAGAGTATTCAGGTGGAATATCCTTCAGAATCCCCTTCTTCAGGATTCTGTGTTTGGGAATGAATACAGAGTATTTTGCCCGGTCTAATTTGTGGTTGGCAATAAATGAGTTGGCATCAAATAGGGAATTGAATTTCACTTGGGATGTGTTCCTATTAACTTTAATAATAGATACGATTCCGTTCACCTCAGTTTGACGAAGAATCCTGCTGAGTTGAAGAGGGTGGATATGGGGGATTTTGCTTCGGTCAGACACTGGAAGTTTGGATATGTTGACGACGAAGGGTGCAGAGCACTTGTCATTGTAGAAGAGCTGATCCGGTTGATCTGAGGAGTTATCTGTGTTTCTACTTTCGGGATAGATTTTTTGAAGGGTCGTATCATCAGTCGGAGGAGGTTGGATAGGTTCGCTTGTTCCGCCGGGATGAGCATTCTGGGGAAGGTCGGCCATTTTGGCTTGGGTATCCTTGGAGCTTGAGTCTTTATCACCAAAAATAAACACTTTTTCACTAGATCCTGGCATTGTAGGGATCCTGGGAATCAGGGATTGAGCATGTGGAATCTTACCACCAATAATCAACACTATTATCCACAAGGCACTTGAGTAAACTATATTACTGATTAAGTAACACGCTAACACGGTACGTACACGAACGCGGCGAGGCGGGGACTGAACTTTATTTTTAGTTTTAGCTATGGCTCTGGAATGGAACTGATTTGTTATGATGAGGTGTTGACGGTTTTTGATGTCAAGCCAGCCAGCCCAGCCAGCCAAACAGCCAAACACAGGATTACATTGAGGTTATGGCGACGACAAGTTTTTATCATCAAAACTGAAAAATTCATAATTTCATATCACTCACGTGTGTGTTGTTTGTTGTGTTGTACCGGATTGCTTACTTAGTGACTTCAAACAAATGTTCATTTCTTCTTTTGACTCCTTCAAATCATGGAGATCATTTTTAGGAGGCCTTTAGAAACTTTTAAAACTTATTTCTACTAATAATGTGGTTTATCTCTGTTTGAGCTTTTTCCTCGCAGCACACGGCTCTGATGGCCTTCTCAATTTTCAAAGCTTTAAATGTGACTAGGTGTAGCTTTTTGTCCAAGAAATCTTTAATTTATTCAATTGGATGGCATGGACCTCACACTTTCTACTTTGTGTATGCCGTGCGAGGTAAGAATTACCCACAATTGGCTCAAATTTAGGTACATACCTCAAAGAAGGAAGGAATTCGATGTTTCTTCCTGAGAGATTTTCTTTTCTTTGTCTATCCAGGAAACCCAATTTTCTTGTCATTTGTAAAATCTAGAGGACAACTGGGACAGTTCTGTTAAATTAAGGATAGTCAGGGAAGTTTCGGGGTTAGGTAGCAATGACAATTACTTACTGATTATTGATACTCTTACCTCACCTCAGATCTCGGAAAAATTGATTTTTCAGAAGAGCATGCAGACTGTCCGCATTCTTCATTTCCAACAGTAAGTAAGTCAGACAGACAAGTAATAGTTCTTGAGGATGGCAAAGGTAAGATGCTCTTGAATCCTGTGTGAGCATATCGACGGTGAAACTACCAAACCACGTATCTCGGTTTGCGACGTCGCAGACTTCTTGCCATACTTTATTTTTTAAATGGAAAACTACTTAACGTCCAGTCTTGAAAATTTCTGTGATTTTTCCTCTTCGCGCGGAGAAAATTCTGTGAAAATTTCAAGGAATGATATTGATTTGGTCAACTTCAAAAAAATAAAATGTGAGCGTAAATTTTTAAACACCGCAAACGAGATACGTGGTTTGGTAGTTTCACGTCGATATTTGTAAACGTTTTATTTAAGTAAGGTAAGTAGCTGGATTGTAAATTAAGGTTCTGGATTATTTGTGAATCTTTCTTGAGTTGAAGCCCAAACATTGGCCCCAAGCTTAAATTTACTCGGTAGAAGCCTGTATCAATCCTGGAAAATCTATTGCAATAGTTTGCCCTTATTCTGACAGTTTGTGAAGTTATTATTCGCTCAGTAACCACTAATGATGCATTGCTTTCATGAAAACTCACATTGCATGCCATTTGATAAATTTATGCAAATGCTGGTAAGAAATATTTATTTGGCGAATTAGTACCAATATAAAGGGTAACTGGATTCCATTTCTGGGTAACATCCAAATTCTTTCCAATTATAATACTTCGACAGTAAAAAAGAATATCTCTTGTGGCACACCTATACAGCTAACTTTCAGCCCTGAAAATTCAAGACATGAGGCTTGGTAGTGTCACAAACAGTGGGTATTGTCTAGAGTATCGTTTGTGAAAGTTGCAAAATTGGTGTCTCTCAGCAATATTTCAAAGTCTCTGCCATTGTTCAATATTTTTATTCAAAACCAATCCATGTAGTGGTCAAAATTGTTGCAGCTTGCTCACTCTCCTTCGATTGAAGAAAAATCAATAAAAATTCCAGAATATAATGTTGGTCTATTTTCTCCTGGGGGNGGGGGGGGGGGAGGGGGAACTATGGAGAATCCGAACTTTCATTCTCCAGGTATTTCTTAAACGTCTGATATGTACTTAATTTAAGCTCGACCAATTGGAAATTAATTTGTGTTTTTTTTCATGTATTTCTAGCAACACATACTGCTAAAGAATTTCCCCTCTCATATTCACCTCAAGTTGTGGAAAAGGGGCGGTATAAAAAATGGGAAGAAAGTGGAGACTTCAAACTGAAAACTGGTGGTAGTGATCTTGATGTGTTTTGCATGATCTTACCACCTCCCAATGTCACGGGAACGCTTCACTTGGGCCATGCTTACACGGTCACATTGCAAGATATTCTATGTCGATGGTAAGTTAACATGACTCGATTCCCCTTGAATTCTTTAGGTGTAAGTATTCAGCTGTTTTAAGAAATAATGCTGTATGAAGATTCCAGAGTTGCCAATTTCCTCCAATAAAATGTCTATTTTTGAGGGTCATGAATATTTTCTCCCTGTATATTAAGTTAGTGTTTATTCATTGAAGGAATTTTGGCAACTGACGAAGGTTCATACAGCGTTTTTCCTCAGCACGGCAGTATTTATCTTCATACATTTCATTGCTGTAGTCTGCTGTAAATAGAACATAACTTTTTTCCAGATTTTGCAATTTTTCTGAAAAGAAAAGAATAAAAAAAAGTCTTCCTAGGAATACCTACCTGATACGGGCTTTGCGTTTTTTTTTTTTTTTTTTTTTTTTTTTTTTTTTTTTTTTTTTTTTTTTTTTTTTTTTTTTTT